ATAAGAGACAGCATTCAAGCTTCATAACTCAAGATTTACTTAATCAAAAAATATTTTATCTATGTGTTTTAAAAAGCTCTCGAAATAAGCTACAAGAATATGTAATAAAAAATGGGGGGTTCCGTTTAAAAAATTTGAAGTGACTTTTCCCTGACCTTGACAGCGCCACCCTAGGTCAAACCAATGGTACCATTTTATGTCCCTCTTGCAATTAAACAACTTTTGTTTGAAATATTTTTTTGTATCTAAAACCATTTTCAAATAAAAAGGATTGTAATTGATTTTACGAATACCCTATATAAATGTAAGATATATATATCGAAGAGTAATTTTCTTTTCTGTGACAGTAATAATATATCTTTTCGATTCATTAGTTGCTCTCACAAAGCTTTTAAAACGATTTTGTTCGTTGATTTACAGGAAACTTCAAAAGGTAATTCGGACGAATCGCCCAAGATAGGGATAAGGAAGAAGTTTGAGATCATGAAAAGAACTGGTGGGAATGAAGGAAGAGAGACGAGGACGCTCAGCAAATCTGAAAGGGCACAGCATAAACCCTTCTCCTGTGACCTTTGTACCTTGGCTTTCACGAGAGCGTCACATTTGGCGAGGCATAGAAGGGTACATACCGGCGAGAGACCCTTCGCCTGCAGTATCTGCCCACGAATGTTCGCTAGGCAAGACAAGTTAAAGCAACATCTGGACTCGCACTTACAATGGCCGAGCAAAAGGAAGAGCGGTCAAACAATTTCCTCGTTGCCGACGAAGGGCAAACGCGGCAGACCACGTAAGGTAGCGGAAGAGAGATCGGAGAATTTGAAATTGCAGCCCGTCACATAAGAATGTTTGTCTGCGCGTTGTGCTCTGCATTGTAATTTGCTCTATGTTTGTTTCTCTCATTATATCTCTTCAAAATGATGATTTTTTCTTCAGACAGCGCTATCTTTCATGACGGACTGTATAGCTGAGCTTCTTTCTGATAGCCTAGTCAGATACCAGTTATCTGTATACGTTTCAGGTTAATTTGGAGCAATCTGCGATGGAAGAAATTTTAAAATTTGGCGAGTTTAGCTCTCTATTGAACAAGTCCCATTCCGCGAATTCGACGAATAAAAGTGAAAACTCCGGAAATACTGGAGACGATGGCAAGAGGAAAGAAGCGCGTCGAGACGGGGACGACTTGTCCCAGAGGGAAAAAGACAACCGCGGCTGCCAGGTCGAAAACGGCCAAGACATCGTTTAATAGAATCTTCATTTGGAATCTGGATTTAAAAATGTCCGTAAAGCATATTTTTCTATGCACAAACGCGAAATACGATGATCAACGCAACGTAAAAAAGGAAAAAAAACCTATCGAGCTTCGAAAAGTCGTGGTATCTTTTTCCCCGAATCTATTTCATGTTCAATAGGGCTTGATAATGTCTTCTCGTCCCGATCGGATATATACGTATATAATATGCAAACGAGTACTCGCGTCGCTGTTATTTCGAACTGTTTAACGTAAGTACCTGAGATATCTACTAACGTTATTACCAAAGCACACGAGCCTCCAAAGAATCCATCTGCATGAACGAGAGTCGAAGGAGTCGATTGTCATCGAGTAGGTGCATCGTCATCGATCGATATCATAAGAATCGAACGGTAAGATTAATGTAAAGGGATACCTGCGTTCTACACACACACACACACACACGCACACATACACGCACACACACACGCACACACACGCACGGGCATATATGTATATACATATATATATATAAACCCGACCAAATAATATACGCGTGAAGAATACGGCCTGACTTTCACTGTAAACAATTTTGATCTCCCAATCACATTGTCGCTCGACATCTTACAATTATATCGACGTTTTAGATAGAAAGTCTGATTCCATGTACGATCGAAGGCATCCACGCAGCCTACTAATGACTTGTGTGAATGACGTTTTAATGTGAGACCTTAATGAGAGGTGTAATGTATGTATACACATTATACACACGCGCGCGCGCGCGCGCAATGTAATAGTGTAATAGTGTCTGGTACAGTGTGAGTCATGCCTATACGTGGTAATATTTTGTCATACGCGTGACTATAATACGTCAAGTACAAATGTCCAAATGTTAGATTACGTGTACAACACTCTGCCACGCAATGGTGTAAATTAGGAGTGTGCAAGTACTCGAATTCTCAAGTACTAGTTTTTATCTTTCTTGGAAGAAAAGATAAAATCACCAAATAATAACAACAATGAATATAAAACAAAGTTCGATCTTCTAGAATGGAGGCTGGACAATGGACTTACAGTTTCTTTCTATAAAAACTGCAACTATGCAAAAAAAAAACAATTGTATTGAAAGATTTAAAATTTTGTGCGGATATAGATTTGAAAATAAATTTTGTTGGACAACCAAAAAAATTATATTGAATATTAAAAAATTTTTGAACTAGAAGTTTATGTTTCTAACATAATTTTTTTAATGGTTGATCAAAGAACGACTTTGTTTCAATTATTTACTTTTATAATACAGTTTCACAACTTTTTTGACTGACAAACAAGGAACTTGAAGAATTAACACTTCAGAAATCTAACATGGCGAATTCGTTACGAGGTCATGACCAAGTCCGCTAATATAAAATTAAAATCTATTTCTATGTAGCTATTCTTATATTTTTGAGATTCTCTCTTCAACATTTAATTATTTTTACAATCGGTGTAGCATCCAAGCATTTATTTCATTCAAGTGAATATGCGCGACATAGAATGTATATTTAAATAATGATATTTAATAATATATATAATATTGTTACGCCCGTGCTTCGCGGTGTCGGTCGAGCATGAGTTGCGCCGATTGAAATCGTCCGCGGAAGCGAACAAGAGAGAGTTGCTCCCTTAGCAACGTGGTTGTTTTGACAGGACTCTGAGATTGACGTGAGATTGACATATACGCTCTAGTGTATTAAGAGTTCAATAAACTGTTGCAGTTCTATTATAAACGAGTGTATTGTCCTTTTCTGCGCGAGTTTACGAGTATCACCATCTTTGCCGCAGGCGCGAGTGCAGCAGTGAGCGCGAGCGTAACATTTTGGGGGCTCGTCCAGGATCGAACGAGCGGATCAAGCGGACGAGCAGATTATGTAAACGACAGCGATGGCAACCACCAGAAAAAGAACAATACACTCGTTTATAAAAGAACTGTAATGGTTTATTGAACTCTTAATACACCAGAGTGTATACGTCAATCTCACGTCAATCTCAGAGTCCCGCCAAAATAACCACGTTGCTAAGGGAGCAACTCATGCTCGACACCGCGAAGCACGGGCGCAACAATATATATAATATATGTATAATAATAATATACATACTATAATACAAGAAATTAAGTACTTGGAATAAAATTTTCACTAACCAAATTATTATTAAAAATATCCCCTTTAATACGAATTTTAATTTAACTTTCTTACGGGTTTAGATGAATAAAAGTGCTATAATTCAGCTACCTAAAAAAAACCATAAGATTATACATGTGTAACATTGTTTTATGTTACACTTTTTAGGTCGAAATCGGTCCATTTTACCTGTCAAACTTTATTTTCAGTTCTATATCCAGCAAAATTTTAGATGTATCAACAAAATTGTATATACAACTGTTTGTGTAACAGGCGACAGCCAAGATTAACACAAGACAGCTTTTCTCCAGAAAAGTTCGAATCGGACTGTAGCGCTATTCATCAATAACAATGATGAGTTTGAAATGAAATCGGCTAAATGACAAATATCTCGATTTACGAATTTTATCAGAGCGCAATTTTAACAAATTTTCTTTTTATATTAAGATAAATAATAAAAATAAAATATAATCGGAGTGCGCTCCTAAGATTTGAGTAATTAGATACCTTTGAATGTGAATGTGTTTAGTGAAACGTACGAGAATCACGCGAGTACTCGCACAATCTTAGCGTAAATAAATAGGCCTAGGGTTCCTCTCGATTCATTTATAGATTCGCAACTGGTATATAGGCTATTTCTTTTATGTAGAGTTTACGATTTGTGCAACATTTGTACCGACAATGTCGACGAGATTCGTCTCAACTGCGAACGTTCGTCGAATCGGCCCTAAATTCGAAACATTCGCGGACGTTCGTACGGCGCACGTCGGAATATCATGTGGTGTCAATGTCATTATAATTGTTTATTATTGTTGTATATACAATTAATTGTTATTTGTAAGAATTGGCATTCTGTTTTGTTGATTGGCTATTGCTCGCAATCAATGCGTTGCACGGATGTGTTGTCCACCCATCCGTGACCGTATCTTTTTTCTCGTGGTAACGTGCAATTATTTTGCCGTGATATAGACACCCTGGTCGCTGCCGAATGAGGTATGCAAAAGGTTCATATCTTGCATTCTATATAGTGTGTAGCGCGTGTAAATAAATTTTCAAGTGAAGATGAGATGACTTTATATATCCACGCTGTAAATATATCCTACATACATCTTACATCCAAGATTTGCTGGAGATGAAAATTGGAAGTAGGATCAAGGCACTAGATATAGAGCAAGTATTAATTCCAGATAATTTATTATAGTTAAATAATTATTGTATTTTTCAATAAAAGGTGTATATCTGCACAGGATTCTTTAGGTTTTGTGTTGGGTTTATCAATTGTCAATTGTGATTTTTGTTTGCTAGAACAACGTTGCACACTCTATCATTAATAAGTAATAATTGTAAAAAAACGTTAATTTAGATGTATCTTTAAAAATTATTCAAAATTATTCTGTACTCGCGTCGGACATCTCAGATCGATAGTAGGCGGTATCTGTAGAGGACGTTTTCATGCGAAGGACCCCACACAGCACGAAGTCGACTGTTAGGGCTCTTGCACACTGGACGCGGAAATGCTTGCCGCGCGACAAAATGCGACATGATAGCCAATGGATATGTCATCTTTCTTTAGGAGCTGTAAGTTTATTGACTACCGCGTCGCATTTTGCCGCGTGGTAAGCATTTCCGTGTCCACTGTGCAGGAGCCCTTCTCGACTTCAAAGTCAGACTAAATGTCAACTTATAGCCGACCAACAATCGACAAATGTCTCGACTATAGTCGGCTGTAAGTCAGCCATGTCAGTCGATGTTTAAATCGACTTTATGACAACCTTTGAGTATATAGACATGGAAGGGGAATGTTGGCTCGAAAACTGTGTCCAAAATGTGTGCGAGAGAGAAAGGTAGACGAGTAATATTCGTCCTTTCTGCGCATGCATCGATCATTCGACAGACAGAGAGGACGAAGTATCACCACACAGTATAACCAGTAGGTCCACTCAGCGAAAAACTGAGTCTTCGCGCAGGTATCGCCGCGCAACTTTTGTTTGGGTTGGATCCAATGAAATGCAAGACGATAGGAACGTATGTACATACATCCATATGTGCAGACAATTTATAAGCAATTATATCAGAAATTTTCGTTAGTGATCACTCCTACGAATAATTGTTACTAATAAAACGTTTTATTTGATTCACACATTGAATTTATTGATTTACTGTATCGAATCCATATTATTACTTATTTGTCTTACTACTTGTGAGGCACTTTTCTCAATTCGGTCCTGAATTTAACATGATGGATGCTCACGTGATCCGGAAAAGGAGATCAAAGGTGCCGACACGAAGTGGACCTACTGGTTATACTGTGGTATCACGTAGTATCGCTCGTATACTTTTCTTTCTCGCACTCCTTGCCACTCTTGGACTCACTTGCGGCTTACAAAGAACAAAGGCATTCCACCTCCATGTACTATATACTCAAAGATGGCAACTATAAGCCGACATTTTTTATTTGCCAATTAGGTTATGTTGACTTTAACCGACAATAAGTTGACTTTTAGCCAATACAATAAGCCAACATTGGTTAGCTTATGGCAAAAATCACGCAAGCTTTGTATAACGGGTAAAAAATTAATATATTTTACATTAAAGCAATTCCGAGAATATTTTAATTTAAAAATATCAAAAATATCTTTTTTTTATTAGCGACCATTAAGTATACTTATACTCATTATTAGCTTATATGTTACAAAAACATTATTCATCTCGCAGACTCGCACTAAGTGCATACATGAATAATGTATAAATAATTATGACATATCCGAATTTCGATTTGACGAGGAGCTCGACAAATTTTAAGTGCGAGAAACAGATACCAGCAAACGCTATCTAGCGACAGTCTTGTAATTATTCAGTAAAAGACGGCTTTAATTTTCTAAAAATGGTTGACTCCATGGAGTAATTTTTATTACACCATGGTATGCACTCTCCCCACTATGATGTCCATATGCGCAGAAGCAGGTATGCTCTTGCATTGTATATTGTAAACAGTAGTATACAGTATATAGTATACTGTAGGAGTATACAGTATATCGAACAGTGACAACAATTAGTCAGGTAGCGCAGTTAAAAGGGCGATCACGGCGGGAGCAGACAAATGTTCAGTTTGCAAGGAAGGAAGGCACAATTCACAAATTATATCATTGTCCAACCGTCCTCAATTTAACTCCTCAGGCTAGAAGCAAGGAGATGAAACGACTCAAATTGTATTCCAACTCTTTTAAGACAGATCACTCCATAGATACATGAAGATTCGGAACATGTAAATTATATCACAAGAAACACAATACATTGCTGCATGTTAAAAGCGACAGAAACTGAAAGCACTAACGACG